AAGGCAAGTCCTGCCTGACCAACCTGGTGACCTTCTATGATGGAGCTTCTGACAGTTCTTCCTCATTCTTTGGAGCGAATGTTTCCAGTTAGTTGTCTTCCTAACATATTTTGTCTAAAGGGATAATTTGGCTTTTTTTTAAGTTCCTTTTACTCCAGTAATTCTATTGAACCACTCAGTTCTTCAAGTGATTTATTTTACATTATTTGCTTTTCATGTCAGTGAGTATCTGCTCTGAAATTCTTTTTATCTTTTCTAATTTCTGTCCTACAAAATTATAGGCTTTTCCTTGGTTTCTCATATTTAGGACTTCTACATGACAAAACATATCTGTGTACTTAGAGTAATTTTCTTAGCCTTGTATAATTGTTCACCTTCTCTTCTTTTGGCTTCTTGGTATCCTCCTTTCATATAGAAAGATGGGTATGCATTGTGACGTCATGCATGTGATTAAATAGCCTCAGTGCATTTGATGTTAGTCTTTTCAAATTACTTTTCAATATGTGTTTGTGTACCTATATTTATGTACACACACCAAGTTTTTCCTTCTTGATCCAACAGAAGGCAAAGATGTTATAAGCTTCCTTTTTAGGAAAATTTATGAAATCTCCTATATATATAATATTGCATCTTTCGTTACAATTTAAATTGGAAGAGAACATTACTGTGCTCTAAAATATAGTAGAAATTCGAACATTAACAAAAATTTGTTTTTTAATGAAATGTTCTGTGGTTGCTATCTGTGATACTAATGCATCACGTGTTCTGTTGCAAAATGTACACTATATGGATGGTCAGAATGTAAGGAAAATGACACAGATATATAGGTGGAGCACATAGTTTCTTTTTAATTTTGTGGTAATTGATTTCTGCATTTTCCTTTTCTTTGATGGCAGTAAAAACAACAGTAAACTGTAGTAATTCTATAGAGAACGAATGAGCATTCACCCTTGAAATAGAGTAATATTATGTGAATCATGTTACATGAAATACCCAAGTGAACAAAAATCCTTTTTTATAATGTTTTTCAATTCTGTAAGGCCATTGCTTTTGCCAATTTCTTTTGTTTCTCCTGCAACAAAAGAAGTTGGAGGGTATGTAGTTGCGTATCTCTTCACATTCCAGCATGCTTGTGAAATAAAAATTGACATAGGCAGTTGAAGATGAGGTAGTAGATGGGTCACAATCTTTGACTTTAGGTCATACAATGAAGAAGACTTTGTTGACACGAAGGAATCTTAAAAAGATTGTTGTTATTTCTGGAAGTTGAACAATCATAGAATCATAGAATAGTTTGGGTTGGAATGGACCTTTAAAGGTCATCTAGTCCAACTCCCCTGCAATGAGCAGGGACATCTTCAACTAGATCAGGTTGCTCAGAGCCCCATCCAACCCGACCTTGTACGTTTCCAGGGATGGGGCATCTACCACCTCTCTGGGAAACCTGTTCCAGTGTTTCAGAACCCTCATTGTAAAAAATTTCTTCCTTATATCTAACCTAAATCTACCCTCTTTTAGTTTGAAACCATTACACCTTGTCCTGTCACAACAGGCCCTACTAAAAAGTTTGTCCCCATCTTTCTTATAACCCCCTTTAAGTACTGAAAGGCTGCAAGAAGGTCTCCCTGGAGCCTTCTCTTCTCCAGGCTGAACAACCCCAAATCTCTCAGCCTTTCTTCATAGGAGAGATGTTCCATCCCTCTGGTTGTTTTTGTGTCCCTCCTCCGGACCCACTCCAATAGGTCCATGTCTATTCAAAAAAAAATATGGAGCTTCAAAGGATGAAAGGTGTGTGCTATCTTTATCCAATCTGTATGTCAAGCGTAACAGATCTGTGAGGCGTCTTGTATAAACAGTGCTTCAGAACTTCAAAAGAGTACCTTAGCTTTAGTTTTAAGCCAATATGAGTCTGGTCTTACGCTGAAAAGGACTGTCTCAGCATCTCTTGCACCTTCATCTGTACATTTCCACTCCCCCTTTTTTTTTTTCTGGTAAATTATGATGAGCATGTTTTGTTGCTGTTGGTTTGGCTTGGTTAGTTTTGGTTTTAGCTGGACCAGTTCCTTCATCCAGCTTATCAAGATGCTGTCTGAGTTTTAGTGGTAGCAGAGAACAGACAAATAGGAACTTGGGAAGGTTGTGTGGGGCGATGCAGAATTGCCCCTTTCAGAACACACCACACAGAATGCCATAAAGTCATGAAATCAGTCTTCAATAAGTAGCAGTAGTGTTTCTCATCATTTGACTATGTAAATGGTATAATGTGTGAACCAAAATAAATATATTTATATATACAGAAAAGAAGTGAAATTTTGAAAAAGGGTATGAGCGCCGAAACAAATTCCTACTGATTATATGCATTTGCTCCTTGTTTAAGCAAACCGAACGTATAATAAGAATATGCAGTTACTAATCTATTCTTTGTGCATATTCTAGACACGTTTTCTATAGTTTGTGGTTGCACAGTTGCACTATGGAGCAGTCTACCTTTAATATACAATACTCGGTGGAGGTTGTTTTTTCTTATACCCCTGTAATTTCCGGTAATTTTGTTCATGTGAGAAATACAATTTTTCAAAATTGTCAAATAGTTCCTAATGTATTAAAAAGATAAAACTAAATCAGCAATAAATGTTAATGCTGCTTTATAATGCATGCTAGACATTGAAAGCCTAGTGAAAGATTTTTCCTCTCAGGTGATTTTTAGTGTCTCTCATACACAGGCAGCGTCCTGCACTTGGTGAGTGCTTAGCATCTCTTGCAGCAGCCATTCCAGTAGCATTCCTTGAACCTTCTCTCAACCATTACAACCCATTGTCTGTCTTCAACACAAAAAGTGCAAGAGAAAGAGCGAGTAAGTACTGTTCCTCACACAAAAGAAAAAAAAAAGGTGTTTGCTCCTCTGCAACTAATAGTAATAGAAAAAAATAGTAATAGTGGAAAAAACCCCAAATGTATGCCCCGGTAGAGAACTCCTACTATTGCTCTTTCATTACTTGTCATTTTAACCTTGCTCTGCTTTGTTGAGACTATGTTAACATTGTTCCCTTTCTCCTAGCATATTTGGATATTTTTCTGAACATGATGTGTTTGAATTCTTTTCCAAAGCTGCATACTGTAATATTTGAAGCTTAGTCAAAGATCGTATCTACATTACAAAAATTTTTAGCAAATTGTACAGTTGTGTTCCTACTAGCAACATGCAAGAGATATAATATCTTATTTATGTGAACAGGAAAATTATCTATATTTTTTTGTTGTCTTACCAGTACTCCAATGCAGTTTGGTATAGGGAACTCCAGACAGAATATGACTTTGATTTCATGAAACCTTAGTCAAAGGAGCATGAGTCCTTCTACATAGATTTTCTTCACTTTCTTCTTTCCCAACTTACTCTTGATGGACTCTGACATCTTAAAGTATTTCAGTATTTTCCTCATTGACCTGTGTAAGAGTCATTACCCTGCCAAAATCATTGTTACTTTAAACAACAACAACAAAAAAGTAGGTAGATCGATATGCTTCGTAAGTTTTTCCATATAAAAGCAGTCATGGAAAAGCTTGTGCTAGCCCTTCCTTCCTGTCAGCTCTACTTTATAGAAGCAGCACTGGTGGAAGAAGAATTTTGCTAGAGTGAATGGCATTGGATTATGATGGGTTGTTCATTGCTGAATAAGCACCCTTCAGTTTCTCATACAAGCATCTGACAACTGGAATTCTTTCCTAGTATTTTTGTTGGGAGATAGATGGGCAGAGTTTGTGAACTAGGTACAGTTTAGTTTTAATCTCACCCATAATTTTGAGCTGTTTGTTTCCTTTTCCCTGAGGTGGATTTAATGTTTTGCAGATTGACGTGGAAGTGTGAATGATTATGGAAACAACGGCCAGAGTTTATCCAATATTGATACAAGCTCTCAGTTCTGCACTTTTACATAGCTGGGCTGCTCACCAGATAATTGCAGGACACCTTATGGTAAAGCTTTATGGCAGCTATTATCTACATCAGTGCTATATGCACATGATCAGAAAGACATAATTTGTGAGATGAGAGACCTGTGTATACCCCAAAGTCTTACTATAGTTATGTCTGCCCAAGATGGTGACAGAAAAAATCTTGAGTGACAATGTTCTTTGTATTTAGGGTTTAAACATAGGTGAACGTAGATGTTCTCTTTTATTTTGTTAATTAATCTTTTGCTTTTCTACTCTTACTTGCAGTTTTAGGTATGCCTGATACAGTAGAAGAGATGTGTCCAGAGATCCCTCAGTTGGATGGACTAATAAAGGAAATTAATGATTTAGCAGAGTCTGGAGCAAGGTATACTGAAATGCCTCATGTAATTGAGGTTATCTTACCCATGCTATGCAACTATTTATCCTACTGGTGGGAAAGAGGGTCTGAGAGTGTTCCTCAAAGTGCTGGGCCTTGCTGTACAATGATAACATCTGAGCATCTGAGCATCGTTCTTGGAAACATTCTGAAAATCATTAACAACAATCTGGGAATAGACGAAGCATCTTGGATGAAAAGAATTGCAGGTACTGTAAATATTTTTAAACAGTAATTGTACCTAATAATATTTAATTACTTTGCTATACTTTACCATATTACCTAGTGATATAATAATAATAAATTGTAATTATAAACAGCAGGAAAGAAAACTAAAGAGTAGATAAGTAACAATAAGAGAAAGATATTTTAATTTTTTCAATTTTTAAATTATTTTTATGCATGCATTGTAGCGTCACTATAAGCAGAGAGCTTTCTATACAACATAATGGATTTTGAAAATGTTATCTTCTGAATGTACTGTATAAGAGCCTTAGCATTTAATTTGGAGTTGTGAATTCGATTGATTTTCAAGACACCTAAGAACTGAATAGTGTAGTAGAAGGGTATGTGTCCTGTGAATTCTGTTCATGAAATATCAGGACAAAAGGGAAAGAAAGTGTATATGGTGAAATAGTCCCAGGAATTCTGGGAACCCAAGTTCAGAATTAGTTGCTTTGCCTGAGTAACTGTGCCAGCTATTAAATGAGCAGAAAGATTTCTCAAAATGTCCTGTAACATTTAGTAGCTAGCTAGCTAAAGAAATTTACTGTATCCAAATTTTATCATTCATCTTAAACAGTGTAAGAGTATAATATGCAATAAGGTGGTTCAAGAAAAATCTATGTGAAGGTAATAATTTCCTGCTAAATTTTAATGCCCCCTTGGTACAGGGTTTTCAGTATTATTTTAAATACTCAAAGGTCTTTAATAATAATAAGGATTCCATTAAAATTTAGTAAGAAGTTTGCTGCTTAATTGTAGAGACCACTGCTTGCAGTTTTGTAGTGGCTGCTTTTCTACGTAAGGATATAATGTACTAGTGTGGTTCTTTTAAGGATTTTTGACTCAGGTGGTCTACATTTTATTACTAATGCTTGTACAAAATAGATCTATGATCTTGAATTAGTCATTCATTCTCTGCATTTTAGCTTGCCCAAGGCAAAGCAGGTAAAGGAATTCTTCAAGAACACTGTCTTCTGACCATTTTCTGACATTGTATACAAAAAACCCACACACAAATAAAACCCCAAAAGTATTTTTGTGAGGACTTTGTGTCTCAATCCCTACTTTGTTTAGGTTCTAAGTTAGAGACGTGTGACTTGCCAAAACCATGGTAGTTTAATTGATGTAAGACAGAAATACTTATAATCTGAATTCCCAGTAACTAGCTTTTAATCTCTCAATACACACAGTTGTTACAAAGCTATATTCATAGTTTTATTAATAATTTTATAATGCTCCAGAAATATGTGAAGCACTATGACCTTTATGTTTTCTAGAACTGCAGAGTTCATATTAATATGATGAAAAACATCAATTGTGCATTAGTCATAGGATTATCTATATTTTTATGTATAGTTTACGCTCAACCCATCATCAGCAAAGCCAGGCCTGATCTGCTCAAAACTCACTTCATTCCAACACTGGAGAAATTGAAGAAGAAAGCTATAAAGATCGTGATGGAAGAGGAGCAACTGAGAGCAGATAGTAAAACTGACACTCAAGAAGCTGAGCTACTCATTCTCGATGAGTTTGCTGTTCTTTGTAGAGACCTTTACGCCTTCTATCCAATGTTGATACGTTATGTAGACAACAACAGGTAAATAAAAACTAATAATTAAATTCATATTTATTAGTTAATGTACTGGAGTCCATGATCAGATAATCAGAAAGAACACAATGCATTTAATGTTATGCTGAGAATCAGATCCTAAGTATTTTAAGATTCTTAACTTACAGAATGATGTATCTTGAATTCACACCTTTTTCTCACATGCATTTGGCTTATTTGGTTGTATTGTAACTGCACTATTATCATTGAGAATGCATATCCTGACCAGACTTGTTATATATGCTACTGCAGCCCAATGACATTACAAATGAATATGCCTTTCAAAAATTGAAAAATGGCTAAAAGCCTTAAGTGGTAATGAAGAGGTGAAAAACTATTTGTTGTTTTTTTTAAGACGGAAATAAAAAGTGTTTGGACTACATTGTATTGCCTTTGGAATTATCAGAAGTCTGTCTCCTCAACCATTTACTGAAGGATTATTCTGTGCCTACACTTTCCCTTTCCTTTGTCCCAGAACATGACCCCAAGGTGCTCTTCAGAAGAGTATCTGAAGTATCTATAGTATCTCAGTATCTACAGTATCTTAATCCTATCCTTAACAACATTGTTCTTCTGTACACAATCATTGTCCACTTATATTTTTTAGGTGTTAGTACATATTGGGCTAGTTAGGAGCATTTTCATTGCATGCATGATCATTTATGCTGTGAACCGATTTACACTGAGAATTATTTGCTTTTTCTAGATGAACTCAAGGCTTTACTATGTCAGACCTTGTTGGCAAGGAAACACTTCGAATTTTTAAAAAACACAGATTTAACTGGGCTGTGGAGAAATCCTACTAGAAAGATAGAGTTAATGAGCATAAATTATAACGTTAACAGGCGTAAGTTATAACATCTGTCTGCTGTCAGATGCCCACTTTATGTATGGTCATATTAATGCATTTTAATTTAGAGACATTTAAGAGGGCTGCATCTGTTAGTTCATTTGCCCAAGTTTTCTGAGCATCCTTGTGCAGACAGACCCAGACTGAAGTTGTATTAGTTCCTGGATTACAAAAATAAACCAATTGAAGCAGTCAGTTCTTACAGCTCACCCACTCTTTCATTTCCCTGTACTCTTCCTGCTCTCCCCGTTATAGTGTTCTCTTTTGGATCAACACAAAGTTTTGATCACAAAGTTTTGATAACAAAGTTTTATTATGGAGAAAAAAAAAGAAATAGAGAAATACTCGGAGGAAGAGTTTTGCTTTTCAGCCAGTTCTGTTTTCTAGTCTGGTTCACAGAATAGGCACAAAAACATGTGTTGGCACCATGGCGGGGAGGAACAGGCAGAAATAAGTAGCCAAGAATTAGGAGATTTTTTGGAGATGAGTTAAACTGCCATGAAAAATGGTCTCTCTAACCACGGTCATGGAAAATTGAAGTGATTGTCATTAAATTCCAAGATTAACTATACAAATGTAACCTGATCTATTAAATAGACATTGTTATATTCAGTTGTCTTATTTTAAATGTCTTATTTTCAATTTCTCTTGTTTTTGTAATTAGAGCCAATTGGCTAAAGAAACCAGATGCAGATTCTGATGAACTCTTTCGAATGGTAGCTGAAGTTTTTATCCTGTGGTGTAAATCACATGTAAGATAAGATGTATACTTTTTCTTCCGTTTCATTCTATCTTTAAATATAAATGTGGTACATGCGGATGAATTAAACTTCTGGTGATTTTTTTTTTCATCTTTAGAATTTCAAAAGAGAAGAACAAAATTTTGTGATTCAGAATGAAATCAACAATTTGGCCTTTTTAACAGGAGACACCAAGAGCAAGATGTCTAAAGTAAGTTAATAAAAATTTGTGGGTCAGTTAAATCTTCAGCCTGTGTTTAGTATGTTGTAAGAAGGTTCTGAAAATCTACTCAGATTGCAGCTGCTGTGCTGGTAGAAGAAACAAAAAATAGTTTTGCTTCTTGATTATAGACATGACAACTACTATGCAAAATACAGGCTATGTACCTTAGAGTTACTTACTAAATGTCTAAGTAGTCGAAGACACAAGATTAAAATAAAGGTCTTGATTTGAAAAAGTTACACATATAAGAGAATATGGTTTGTAATATATAATATGGGTTGTTGATCTTTCAGAAAAAAAAAGGTAGACTATTTTATAAAAGCAAGTGAAGAAACATTGGTTGTCTGATCTTTTTTTTTGTGAAGGTCAATCAGTATTGTTCTGTCAACGTTGATGGAGGAATACTGTCTTTGCATATACCTCTATTCATACATGTAGCGTGCCACATGTGCACTGTTTTTCTTGTTTCTTATTAATGACCACATTAATTTCTATTTTGCCCATTTTCAATATGACAAGTTGCTGACATGATGGCTGGAAAGTACATTTGTTACCTGTATAATAGAGAAAATGCATGTTGTCAAGGTAAAAAATGCTGCTTTGACATTAGCTGAGGAAGATTGCCTTACTCAGCTAAAGCCAGTTGAAGTCTAAGTCCAAATTAGTGTTGGTAAACGTAGCAAAGAACCCTTTATTTTATTCATATATGTGACGTGTTTGGAGTAATCCTATTTTGAAAGTGTTCCAGAGAAGTGGTGGGGTTTATTCGTTTGTATTTCACTATATTTTGATTGTCTGTAACCTAGCTACTCTAAGTCCAACTTTAGACAATAGAGAGTCAGATAAAATGTGCCATTACGTTTCTTAATTCTCTTAAAAAAAGTTGGCTTCTTTTCTATTATGATTTTTTAAGTTCTGAAACTTGGTTAAGCAAAATCCCGATACTGGAAAGTTTACAAGCAAACGTAACAGATTTTCTACTCGTCATTAGTTCATGACTGGCATTGAACAGCAATTCAGACTATATAGAGAATTCCATATTTGGAGAAAAGGAAATTTTTAATGTGTTTTCTTGTTTTCAAGATGCAGCTCCTTGAAATTGTGTGGTAGAATTGAAATGTTTGTATTATCCTCATTAGCAAGATGAGTAGTGGGCGCAATCCAGGTTATTTGATGATCAATTGTACAATAACAGAGTTTAACATGTAGCTCTGTATTTTTATCATATGGCAATCACTACAGGTACATTTAATACGTATACTTCAACATTTATACGTTAGAATTGGCCTGAGGAGCCAAGAATTAGGTTTTTTTAAAAACACGATCGATTAGAATCAGGTGATTCACATTTAATCTAAATTGTGTCTCACTGCAGTATTGATAATAGGATAATATGATGTAAACTGTTAGTGTCATATTTTAGTCAGTCTGGCATGGCAGGAATGACAAAACAAATCTTTACAAAATAAAGAATAGGTATCCCTCATACTGCTCCGGAATTTACAAGCAAAAATAACAGATTTTCTGCTCGTCATTAGTTCATGACTGCACAGGAATTTAACATCAAGAATCTATACGACGCAAATTTGAAAGAGTTTGGTTTTAAGATTACATTTTGAAATGCCTGTTGTGTATATTTAAATATACAGATATATTATGTATAAATACTTGTATAAATATATGTATACATAACAGGGATGTAGATGCATATGTAAATGTGCTTTTCTTCGTATGGGTATACAGTACAGGGAGATTATGAATTTTTTATATGCATATAATTTTTGTAAACATATTAATATCAAATCATAGCATTCAAGGGCACTGTGCATGGTTATTGCTTATATAGGAAGAAATAAAAGATTGTATTGTTCATGACTGAATATTTTATTAATATGGTACCATATCTGCAGGAATGATTGCAGAACAGCTGATCATTTAGATAGGCATTTGTTTCATGATGACTTAAATACCATGATACAATACATGAGGCATCTTTTAGAAGTGTTGTGTTGATTTTCTATATATGGTTTCTAAGCAGGAAATTGATAACATTTCATAATATATAATGTAAGAGCTCTAAAACCAGCGCATACGTTAAAGCATACATTTAGATCTGAATAAATTTTTTTTAAGACTGCATAGTTTAGAATAAACAAGAAGTTCTCTAAGTAACTGAATTTCAGGTTTTCTTGAAAGGTTTGGTACTTACTTACATCCTCAGAGAATAATCAGTAGAGATATGAGGATATTACATTGGGGAACATTATTTTAATAATTTCTTGCTTTAATATTAACATTCATCTCCGGAAGTACTATGCTAACAGAATAATTACCACTTTCCTCTTTATCACCAGTTTATCTTTATTCACATTATTTTTAGTGGAAGCAATCATATCCAGTATTTATCAAGCATGAGGATGTATAGATAACTGTGAATATGAACATTGGCTATTAACAGTTGGCCCAAGACAGAACAGTTTGGGGTCTCTTAAAGGAATAAGACCCCATGCTGATCTCAGACTGCTTTAGACAACCGTCTGTCTTACAACAGAGACTTAGCATTTTTCCTAAGATACAAGATACTGTGATAGTGCTATTGTGTAAGGTGTGATGTATGATGTATGGAAGGTTCTATATCTTTACATGCCATATGCAGAGGATGAAGAATTAGGATTACATTATTTATCAGTAGCTAATAGCAGGGGTAACAAATGATTCATCATTACAATCAATAAATTAATTAAGTACCCATTGTATTTTGATTATACAATATTAACTTTGTTAATATTTTCTCAAATAAATGTATTAAACAGCTGAGCAAGTTTTTTAATTTTTCTTTTCTAAAAAAATGGCAGCAGATTGCTCGGAGGGGAATGGTAAGTTAGAGAACTTTCAGTCTGAGAGAGACTGATAACTTAGATTGCATTGAAATAACAGATTTGTGATAGAAGTGTTGAAATGGAGAATTTAAACACATTCAACTCCACTAATCTGTTATTTTTGAACCCTTCATAGGTTTGTTGATAAAATAGCATTTTGATTCAGATGCAATGATGTCCTATTGTGTTTTACAGTTAATTGGTATAAAAGACTAAACGTATACATTCACATGTACATAATAAATGTGTAATACATACGTGGGCAATTTTTCTGTGTAAGTTCCGGTATCTAAGTGAATGTGTGGCTGGATATATAACCCAGTTGCTAAACACTTGCATATCCTACTGAAGTTGTATTTGACTGGCCCTCATTATTAATTTTTTTTTATCTATTTTTAAAAAGCATTTGGATAAACCTATTATAGAAGTTTGAGGCAGTCATAAAATCCAAGTTTGTATTATGAAACAACATTGTGGTTTGCGCCCATTTGTAATATGTAATACATATTATTTGCAAGTTTACGATAATTAGAGGATTTCATGTTAGTATTTTCTGCAAGAATTTTAGATCTCTTCTTTGAGGCTATTTCAACTGCGTAGAATATGTTTCCTGTAGATACACTACGGTAAATCATGAGTGGATTACTTGTATGGTCATCTGTAATAAATGAAATATAATTAACGTCTTGTCTTTACTTACCTCCAGTATACATCTGCTGAGCCATGTCTGTGCAGCCTCTACATATTTCATGCAATTTTCAATTAAAATTTGCTATTTGTCTGAGTAAGGTATTGAAGATTCTAAGATGCTTAATACTTAATTTGATAATTACTCTTTCAGTCTTTCTTGACTTGTAGCTGGTTTTCTTCTCTATGTGATGTAAATACAGTAGGATATAAAAAGAGATTTTAGTAACAGCTTGGCTTCAACATTTTGAGGCTAATTCACGTATCACAAGAAAACAAAGTTACTATTAGAGCTATCACAGAAGGGGGTCTTGTTTGTGTTTATGTTTTGTCCTGTTTGTTTTTAACCAACAGTTTTCTGTAGTATTTTCCCATGCCTGGTCAAGGATTCTTTTGAGTAACAGTTGAATTTTTTTGCTGTTTTACCATAACTACACGGTTTTGTTGTTATCTTCTTAAAATTGCCTGACACAATGATAATATAGTGTTGACTATGGAATAGATGTTTATTTAAGTGTATTTATGGTATTAACATAATAAACAGGAAGAAACCCTGTGCGTGTATGGGACTTACACTTGAATTTATAATAGTGTTCTCAAAATGGGTACTGCTGAGAGATAATGAACTTACGTCAAGTTTTCTCTCAGGCTGTCTTCAAAACAATGAGCTATGCAATAGGAAAATACATCTATAAAAGAAATGCTGCATCTTCACAGTGATAGTTTGATTTCCATTTCTAAACACAATTTTTCTCAATCATATTTTGGTGGGGAAAATAGATAGAAAGAGCTATTTTGGTGAAAAGGTGAATATATTTCTTTATTGGACTATCCAGAGTTCCAGACACCTTCCTGCTTTTAACAATATTGGGAAAAGATGCAGTAATTAGTATATTGATGTGCTTACTTACTAGATGTATTTCCTTATGTGCTGAAGCAACAAATGGTAGTCCTGAATAGCAGCAGATAAATTCAGAGGTTCAATCATTTAGTAAGGATTAAGCTGAATAAAAATTATTTCACTAAGATCTTGTTTGATTACACACTTACAGTCTATTGTTTTAGCTACAAACTTATAATATTTTATTGTCCTGATAAAGCTAAGTAAGTTTGTTACTAACTTGCAAAATTATCATCTTTTCATCTCTTTTACTTATGGTTTTTTCCCTTTATTTTTCTTTCATACAGGCCATGCAAGTAAAGGTACAGGTCAAAGTGCATGATGTGTCTTTGTTTTAGATTTAGAAATGATCAGGCTCCAAGCATTCTTTCCATTGATCATAGCAGTGGCGTCACAAAGTGAAGGCCCAGGTTCCACCTACTATAAATTTTCTCCAAGTTAAAGTGGCAGAATTTGACCAGAGCAGCTGAAATTCCCTTTGGCACTCCCACATGTTGCTTAATGTGAAAATGTAGTAAAGTTACCTTTTCTAATTATTTTAGATGTACATTCTGCCTCTGCTGTCTTTCTGCATTGTGATTTTTTTGCTAGTATATTGAAGCAGACGTTGTAAAAGCAATGCCTCAGTAGAGTCATCAGAAACATGTATTTGGCTTATGATATTAAAGAAAAATATATGGGAAAAATGTGCTAGAACCTATACCCTGTCTGTAGATGAATAGAAGATTGTATTAGAACCAGTAAGTTTAAATTAGATACAGAGTTCAAATCCTACCTTTTTCCAAAATTAAAATGATCTTTACTAAAGATGTGAGGTGTGACAAAGCTTTTGAATAATCCGTGTTCCTTTTATATATTTAATGTATTCAAAGCTTCCTTTGTCTCCAGTGAACCATAGTTCACCTTTCTTTGCACCATCTATATTTTTTCTTTTTTTAATATGAATTTCTAATATAGATGAGTACTTTTCGACCTATGGTGTGTTCTTCATTGGTGAAGCAGAATGAACAGCAAAATGGAGCATAAAACCCTTTCATCTTTCCTTTCACCCTGTGTGCTGAGAAGCACACATGATGCTGTGAAGAGTTTTTAATCAATTAAAATGGAGGCATAAGTTAAAAAGTGAGCAGTTGTATTAAACTAATAGATCTGATTTCATGCTTTGCTATTGTGAAACTTTCCCAGGTATATAGAGTAGGATTTCATGAATGCTGTCGTTATAATCTCAGAGAATTGAAGGTTTAAGGAGGGTTGGAAATACTAAAAATACTAATTCCATCATCTTAACCAGTTTTAGCTGATTTTTTTTTTTAGTATAAATAAATTCTTTCTTCTTTTTGATTGTATATTTAATTATTATGAATCTACTGGAGAATCTGTAATTCTTTTTCTGTTCATGCTTGTTGAAGAAATGTCCATTTGTGTGTTTAAATCCTCAGACAAGTAAGATCATTATATGCCATTAGGCAACCAGATTATATCATTCTTGTTGAGGTCCTTTCAGCACACTTAATTATTTAGGCAAAATATATCCAATTTAATGCTCTTTACATATGAAATGAAGGTATTGTGTTTACTCAGAACAGAAAGAGACATAATTTTATTGTCATTTAGGTTTCTGTTTGTGACTCTACTTATACATTTATCAGCAGGAGTTGTGAATTCACAGACAGCAGAATTGGATGGCAAAGGCAGAATGGATCTTCTTTTCATGTTTTAAAAATGTTCAGGTTTTAAGGTTCACCTACCTTGTTCATATCTATTTATTAATCTCAAATGAAAATAAAGAAAATTGGATGTGTAAAAGGTCTTCAAGCTTATGCAGAAAAGTAAACCAGTAACTCTCCTTTTTTTTTTTTAATATATCTATTATATATTTTGTATTCCTTATTTAAGATGCATAGTGACGCCACTGGAATACAGTGATACATTGTGGGATTTGTTTGTCTGCTGTCAATGTAGAGTACAAATAATGTCATTATTATAGCCATTACATCACTGCTATTTCTAAGGCACTTCCAAAAGCAAAGCTTTGAGGCAAAGTACTCTCTTGCAATTGTTAGTTCCTTAAGAAAGGAAGCCACATCCATTGTGTGTTCCCTCTGACCTGCAAAATGCTCAAGACCAGCTACATACACACAGATTCACCATCTAGAAGACAGAATTTGCCAAAATTTATCACTGAGCAGAATATGTATGGCTTTTTTTTTTTCCATTGATTACTACGATAATAGTGTGGTAATAATTGGTAAATAATGAATTGCAATGGATTCTGCTGTATCAGTATGTGTAACTACACAATGTATTATAAAAACAATAGTCAGTAAAACTTAATTGACAGAGGGAAAAGGATGTGGAGGGTTAAATGCAAGCATTTGCTATTTTGTAGTATTGTATAAGCCTGGAGGCCTAGTCCTGAAATCTTATCTTAGGCAAAACTCCCCTTGAGTGTAGTAGGAGTTTAATCTAGGTATAGAATTCAGAACTGGGCTATTTTTATGTTGTTGTTGTTTACCATATGTTCATTAAATATATGGGTCTGTTGTAAAGATTTTGGTCATAAATGAAAAGTTGTGTGTGAAATATTGTTGTACAGTGTCTGTTATAAGAAGATAGGGCAGATGTTATTCTGTTGCGCTGTTTACTTCTCTGTCTCTTTTGTTTTCCTTTTCTTATTACTCATGATCTCCAAAGATGCAAAAGACTTACTTTTTCATCCCAGAGTTGCTTATATTAGCCAAAGCCAAAGGGCAGCGCTTTTCCCAGAGGCACTAAATCATTGGCATTTTATTTCGTTGAATCAAAGCCTTTTAGATATTGGTATTTTTCAGTTGAGACAAATCAGACAATATTCATTCATTCAGACCCTGGATAACAATCTCTGTGTAAGTTTCTAACAAAAATGTAAACATTCTGAATTTGTCTCTGTAACATTGAGAACTAGTAGTGTCCCCTGAGACTGACTCAGCTTTTAATTTTAGGGTTGTTTCTGATTTGAGAGGTAAGATCCAGAAAATATGGTTAGATTCATATGTATGAATGCACACAAAAGTATGTTACTGCTATTAAAATATTACTGTTATTGCAATTTCTGCATTGGCACATACCAAAAGTATTCCTCTACATTTCCCGCTCAAGACTGTACACCTTTCCTCTAATGTAGCTTTTTTAATTAGTTGTACTACATCAGGAACGTAGTTTCCTTGGACCATTAGAGCAAGAGTGTGTTGGAAAAGTGTGTGATCAGAGAATTACAGTCATTTACTTTTCTATTTTTTTAATTATAGTCTGGAGGACAAGATCAAGAGAGAAAGAAATCAAAACGTAGAGGGGATTTGTACTCCATACAAACATCATTGATTGTAGCTGCACTTAAAAAGATGCTTCCTATTGGTTTGAATATGTGTACTCCTGGAGATCAAGAGCTCATTTCTTTGGCTAAGACTAGATACAGCCATGTAAGTGTATACTTTGTAATAGTTTTTAATGCAAAATAAGCAGAACTTTATAAACTGAACTTTGAGACATAGATATCTAAGCAGTCAATATAATTAAATATATCAATGTACTGTAAGCAATTATAGCTGCTAATTGTGCTTTCACAGAAAAAGTGGTGTGTATAGACAACTGCCATCATTTCCAGGTCATTTTCCATTTGTATACAATGTACATTTTTATATATGCATTTGGACCAAATACTGAAATACCATTAGTTAGCTTTAATTCTCTTCAAAGTTTAATCCTTGTTTTTTTGCTCAAAATTAAAGAAAGCCTTTGTCCCATGCCTTTCTGGTAATTTACGTACTTTGAAAACAAAAGAGGTTAAGTTTCAGTATTAAAATAATAGCTGTTATATGTTGTACATGTTCTTATGAGATGAATGATAATCTGAATTGAAAAATACTTCTACCTTTCTACAGAGGGACACTGATGATGAAGTCAAAGAACATTTACGTAACAACTTACATTTGCAGGAAAAGGTAATATAAAAAAATCTGTCTTAAGATGCTGATGCGTGCTTTTAAAACGCAGGAGTCACAATTGTTTTGTTTATCGTGATACGTAAAAAAAAAAAAAAAAACAAAAGAATGTGAAAAGCTATTAGAAAAATTGCCATTTTTACATTTTTCTTCATAATTTTTTCATGACAATAATTAGTTTATTTGTAGCTTTGACTGGTATTTTCAAGTTTCAGGAAGTCCTATAGAATGGGACAAGCGTAAAGAATTGAGACATTGGTAGTTTTAAAGCTGTAATTACTTAGAATCAACTTGATCCAAGAAGAAAATAAAATTAAAACTATAGTATTTCAGCTTCTGTTCTTGAACTTAACTTGCACTAATGATTAAATAGTATTTCTAAGAATATGTGCATTTTAAAGTGGCTATAATAAAATAAGAAAAGCTTGTGTCATCTTACACTTTAAGAGTTTTACAAGCACATCTATGTTCCTACTATTTATTTGCTGAATACACTGACAAAGGTGATACCAGAATGGAGTCCTCAACATTTTGTAAATAACAAATAGTTTAGATTATTGCCTACAGTCTTGGAACATAGTAGCAGTAACTCATTTATCTGTCATGGCAAATGACTGTCAGGTTGCTATAAATTTGTGCTTACATAAATTTAAATTGGACACACTAAGTATTTCTATTTCTGTCTTGCAAAAAACCAAAAACCTTTGGCTGTAACTCTTCACCTACTGAAATGCCAGCTGTCTTTTATAGACTCTATAAAACAGCTTTCCACTGTCAGTACAGAAGTCCTACAAGGAGTTAAACTCAATCCCAGTACTAAATGTGCTTCCTTATTTTTAATGCAATTAAATGGGATGCAGAAGTCCCAGGGTGCTTTATTTGGTGTCATGAAATAAAAATACAGAACCTTGCTTAAGAATTGAGTCCAGTTACCCAACAGTATACAGAATCTAATGCCATTTTTCGGAGCAGCTAGCAGATGTTAATTTTGACTAAAAGGGGACAGCTGAAATGGGAGTATCTATAACATTCTTTATGATACCATGAGAATAATAGTAGTGGTAGTCAAAGTCAGTATCTTCATTCAGCAGCTTACATATGAAATATGTTGGTTTTTAGTCTGATGATCCAGCTGTGAAATGGCAGTTAAATCTATACAAAGACATTTTGAAGAGTGATGAACCTACTGACCCTGAGAGAAATGTGGAACGTGTGCAGAGGATATCAGCTGCTCTGTATCATCTGGAACAGGTAAAAAGTTAATGTCTATACTGTGTGTGTTTTAAAGTAGCACGAGTTTTTTTCCTTGTAGAGATTATTTTGATTTCAATGAGTGTCATTATTAAAGTTTCCAGATAAAAATTATTTTTGCATATGTGTGCATGCACACACACACGTACATACAGATGTGTATATATGCGAAGTTTTTAATGTAATCTGTTGAAGTGCCTCAGTTTAGCTTCAGGGAAAACTTGGGATGTATTTGCCTCTGCAAAACTTTGTGAACAGTTGCAAGTAGCATTGTATACATCATCACCATTCAGTAGCTGAAAACTGTAATTTTAGGAAGAGATGTTTTAATATACTGGTTTTAGCCCATCTCCTATTTCTGCACCTGAGGATACTGTAACAATTTTTGAATCAGTTGCCTGTTCATTCAAATGATACAATTTAAATACAAAAAGGCATTTGTATTCTTCCCACATAAAGTTAATCCATTTCATTCACAAGTGATATAGCAGAGAAATTCATTCACATGAACAATTACATAGTTAGAAACAGACAAAATAACCATTTTGGAATTTTACCAAGGAGTACCACCCATGAGATACTCTGGCATCTTGAGCTTTTCTCTATAAACTGAGAGGTACTATATATAATACCCCCAGTATTTTTTCTTATTAATTAAAAAAAAGCAAACAAAAACCAAACCAACAAACAAAAAACAAACAAAAAAACCCCAAAATAAAACCCCAAAAGAACATTTTTTTCAGATGATGGGAAGTGTTTGTAACATTTTCTAATTTGCTAACTACAATAACCACTAGCTAAAAAGAAAATTTTGAATAAAAGTTGAAGAGTTTCCATTGTATGTACTAGAAGATGCTTTCCCATAGGTTGAACAACCACTGAGATCAAAGAAAGCCGTTTGGCACAAACTCCTGTCAAAACAACGCAAAAGGGCTGTTGTTGCATGTTTCAGAATGGCACCATTATACAACCTGCCAAGGTAAATGGCTTAAATGTTCATTTTTTTGTAACTTTTGTTTACGTTTCTGAGTGCAAATATTGCTTGTGTGTATACCTACAAGTTTGTTGATTGTTAGGCCTATGTAATTTTGTTTAAGAGACAAAGGAGTTGGTTAGTTATCAGCTAATTCCTCACAGTAGCAAAATACTTGTCTCATGACAAATAAACAGAGGGCGAAAAGACCATAGGAATTCACACTGCTTGCAAACCAAAATGCTTTATTTTTGTCAGCTATTACTCTCTATAGTTCCTCAAGTTATCTGTGAAAATTGTTAAGATGTTGCTGTTTCTGTCCCTTTTTTGCCTCTGATTGCTTGCTCTTTTTACTCTTTATTCTCCTGTGTTTGTATTCTTTTCTCTTTTTTTAACTTTTATGGCTATTCCTCTCCTATTGCATGAATGCTTCATGCTCTTTAACTTGTCTGAGGCAATCTTTAGCTACTATATCAGAATGTTACATACATTAAAGCGGCTATTGGGGCAGAGCAGTGCAGAATGATATTTTGGACTTGTGTGTTGCTCTGCTTCTTACTCCAGTTGAATGTAGATACCACAAAGTCCAAGATAAAGTGCATCCTGTGCCTGGATCCATCTACTGCTTTAAACAGAATATTAAGACCATGCGGCATTGGGATCATTTCCTTTGCCCTGTTCCTTCTCAACAAATCTGCTTTTTATTCAGATACGGCCTAAGCATATCTTTAATTAAGCTTGCTTCTCACCTTCTTCTGCACTTTTTCACCTTTCATGTTTAATATTTTTGTTCAAAGATTGTTTGCAAAGTATTTAACAGAAGAGTTGCATTGCATTTTTCAGTGCCTTTATTAAAGCCAATCTACATGCTTGATGTTGGCTAAAGGTCTGTAGCTGTGCCACTAACATATTGAAAGAATATTAGGTTTGCACAAGAAAAATAAAAAGCCAGTTATACTGTAAAAAGCACACATCCTTCCTTTACAAAAAGTAGTAGTTCTAGACTATATAACGTCTCTAGGTTGTCACACTACCACCAGGCAATCTTTAAAGAACCAGAAAAATGAAAAGGTTTAAGTACAACATAAGAACAAACTGGCTAGTATCAACCATTTCATGTTCAAGAATTGTGTTTGGAAAAACAAGAGAAAGTGGTATGATGAGCACCCATTTCAGTATAACATTTTTGTGAGCATTTTTTTTTTTACAACCATATTTTGGATTTATAAATTCTTAAAATGTTTGGAATATATATGAGCACCCCAATGATAAAAGTGGTTCATCTTATTGTTGCCTTTAAAAAAAAACACTTTTATTTATTATTTTTGAGGTTGATGGAACACTTGCCAAGGGGCAAGATGGATTATGAGTCTGTATTTTCATTTTCAAGAAAATATGGAGTAATACTCATTGAAGTAGAACATTTATATTATCTGTAATTTTCATTAGAAACTTTTCTGTGTTAAAAAGATTGAGGTTAGTTCTTCTCAAACTTTATGGTAGATTTTGTGGTGGAGTTTACTGCTAATTTAAATATGAATGTGAGGCAAATCTGTCCAGTTATTTTGTCTTGTAGATTCTAAAAATGAACTGTCATAAAACTATTTTAGCCAATTAATTGTGGTGTCTGCACTTCAAAACAGGCAAGAGTGAAAAAACACTTTGGACTTAGAATCATAAAACCATAGAATGGTTTGGGTTGGAAGGGACTTTTAAAGGTCATCTAGTCCAAACCCTCTGCAATGAGCAGGGACTTCTAGGTATATTGCTAAACTGATAGGTGCAGAACAAAGTTTTAAAATTCATTAGTTTATAGACACATATTTTTCCTAGATAAATCATAGGGTTCTGATAGGAAAATAAGGCTATCATACTATTATGCACCTATAACTATCTCCATCATTTAAACTGATTGTGTTGTTAAGACATCTCTGACCCCTGGGGAGATTATTTCAAGTGGGGTATGATTAATTCTAGGAGCTATGTAAATCCCTTTGAACCAGAGTTTCAAATGCAGCTCTCCTTATCTTTTATATTTTCTCATTTTAGTTGCAGCTTTATATTGGGAGTGTTAGTTCTAAATTTGATGATAGAATCAATTAATTTAAAGGGCAGTAAGCAAACATGATGGTGGTACCCTTTCATTTATTCTTGAAAAGATTAATATCTTCAGTGAATAATGAGCTCTTTCTTTTGAAAATTTTCTGGAGATTTAGGTGGCTTTTTAATGTTAATCTCGTATTTTAATCTAATTTTCTTCAAAATGCATTCTTATACGTATCAGTTTTTAGGAATTCCAGTAAGATATTTCAGAAATTGAAATGTCTATTGATGTGCAGGTGTTTGTTAAATCATAGCAAAATTACTTGAACTTCTACCGTAAATATTCCAAGTACTCCCTTTTCTGAGAATTGCCTGGAGATACAAAAGAAATAGTTGTATTTTAAAATATTTTTATTTTTTAAGGAAAAAAACATTAGTTAAGTTACAAAATACTGATTCTTCATGTTCTGTGTTTAATGAATATACATGGCTTTGAAAAAGTGTCTTACGTGATAAATGTGTTCTGTGAGGTGTCTGTATTTATGTTTGATGTTTTAAGGAAATTAATTTGTTAAAAAATTTGTCTTATTGTCTGTCATCTGTATATGCACATAGATAGAGCAACATAGATACAGCAAAGTTGTACATGGCAATTTTTCATACACGGTTTATGAATACATTCTTTCTGACTACTTTATAGAATTTAACTTGTGCCTTTCTTCAATGAAAACCTATATGCTTTTCTTCAGACACAAAATTAGCAATTTCTTCCTGAGCACCTTTCAACGAGTTTGGCTGGAAAAAGTACATGAAAAAACTCAGTATGACAGGCTTATACTCAAGTTAACGGTAATGTAACTTGTGGAGAGCCTCTTCCTTATGCGCACACTTATTCCTTCCCAGCCATGATTTGATGTTATCATAAAACATAAATTTGTACAATTTTCAGAGGGGATTCTGATTGGTCAGTTTTTGAAATTTGATAATAAAATGGCATCAGTGCCAACAGGAGAGCCTAGAAGGTTGGCTTAATAGCTATTCCATTATAAAATAATAATTCATGTGCACAGTGTATTTAAACAAGCCATAGTATATACAGCCAATTTGTATAGCTTTTGTTAGTGGTGCAGGATAAAAGTAAATGAGAAGGCTGTGTGGAACAACCTTTGTAACCTCATGTCGTGCACCTCAAAACAAAATTTCCCCCCAAATGTAATGTAAAGATGGAATGGTTTAGCCACTATTATGTGTAGTCTTATTGCCATGAGCTGTATTTTCTGTGGAAAGTTAAATTAATGAATACTGTATAGTAGTAATTATATGCCTAAGAGTTTTCTAAAACTGGTAATTTTCTAGAGCAGGTTTTGTGTATTTCTAATCCAGCTTTTTTGAGGACACATTAATACTGCCCTGATTTGGAACTAAAAGAAAAGCAGCTGAGGTTAGGCTTCTTTACGTGGAAGAAGGCAATGATTGTCTGCAGATAACATGTTGGAAAGCACTTGATAATTATTTTGGTGTGGATGGCCAACTTCTGCTGTCTCAATGTCCTAAATCTAGTAAACTAGATTTACATCTGATAGGTGTAAATCCCACCCACTCATTCTCAGTCTGTTCAAGTGTGTATTTTTCCCATGCTTGCATTAAGGTTCCAGTCCTGCAGTTTCACGTATAATGTATATTAGCACTCCCAAAGCTTTCAAAACAAAAAGTAATGTATACATATGTGTATTAAAAAAAAGTAAGAATGTTCAAAAGTACATGCAGATTTGTCACTGAATGTTAGTTATGTTTTGCATTTTGTTTCACTGACCAATCAGAGGATCAGAATTGTACAAATACGTATCCTTACTAATCATTAACCACCTGAGCTGTTATACAATGTTCCGTTACCCCTCTTGATCTCACTTTCACAACCCCCCCAGGCACCGTTCTATTAACCTCTTCCTCCATGGCTATCAGAACTATTGGATAGAAACAGAGGAATATTCATTTGAGGAGAAACTAGTTCAGGATTTGGCTGTAAGTACTGACATAATTGGGCATATTTTTCAGTGCCCACTTTAGTGTATATTTTATGTATCTATTATAACCTATATTTAATTTTTGTGTACTGTATGCATATGCATAAACTTACAAAATACTAATCCTTATGCTTCAGGGCATAAGGTCATTTTTCGCTGTGGTCAAAAAGACATTCGTCCTGTGATGCACACTGAAGTGCAATAAGGTGGTTTATGCCTTGAGACGAACTATGTGATACTCATTCTTGGGAAGAGAAATGGATTAGATGAACTGTCAGACTATTTTTGTCATTATGGTAATTCCTATGTTCCTATATTTTATTTACTGGTTTTTTAAAGCTTGACACAACTGATCCTTTCCCCTTTTTAAAATTTTTGTTGATGCATAATATTTAATTTTAACATTTTCAGCTTTAATACAAATTAATTTTGCTGTTTTCTTGTTGATACATCATAAGGAGAAGTAAATATATGCAGCCATATTCAGCAAAAATTTAGTTTACATGTGTACTTGGTAAAAGTGATTGGTAAACTTCAGCATTTTGTTACTGAATATGGATTCAGAAAGCCTAATGCTTTTTCTCTTCCCTCTCTGTAGTTCGTTTGTCTAAAATACTTCCAAGGGGCCTATCTCCATAGTATCTAAACACCATGAAAATGAATATATAGCTTCATGGATCACATGAAGATGTATCAGGAGATGCTTCAGTGTTAGCAAAAGTAGTCATGTTGTGCTTTTTAAAGACCCACTGATATAGAATGTTATATGATTTTTCAAAATTATAGTCAATATATTCTTCTCATGCTCTGGACAATTATATGGTTACAGTCTTTGTTTGACTTTGTTGCTTCTCTTTAAAGGAAGGAATGAGGCCATTAATCAAAACAGTGATTACAATTCTTTCAGATTTACTAGAGAAGTAAATTGAACTTCTGTAATTACAATTATTGCTATAATTACAGTAATTCTACAATAATTACAAACCCTACAGAGGGTAATAACACAAGTCAGGTAAAGGTGATATGCTGCTCTTTTGCCAGTGCTGGCTATGTTATATTTCAAACTGCCAAAGAATGTTTAAAGTTGACAATAAAAGCAGTCCTTACACTTGTTGAATCAAGGTTACCTAGAAGTGATATATGAAAGTATTGTAGCAAACTATTAAAAATAGTTCCATTTGCCAATAATTCTCCTGCTAAATAATTGAGCTGGGACTTTTTTTCAATTCTAGTCCACTGGAAACACACAATTTCTGCTGAATAAGGCTTCCCTAAGATTTTCACTGTCTCATTCTCAATACCTTGCAAATGAGAAACTTCTAATGTTACTATCAAATATGAGTAACAATCAGATACTCTAACTCCCTCTGAGTCATACAGGCACATAATGCTGCAGGTTATGCTGTAAGCTGCTGAATAAGATGAATACTGGAAGTTAATACAAATTGGACAGAATAAAATTACCGAAATCCTTTCCTAAGCTTAATTACTCAATTTTTTTCTTACTCATGAAGCTTAATTTGTATATTCTGATATAAATCTTGAGACAGACACCTGCAAAAAAAGGTGAAGAGGAAGAGGAAGAAACTGAGAAGAAACAGCCTGATCCACTTCATCAGATTATTCTCTATTTCAGTCGCAGTGCTCTCACAGAGAGAAGGTAAAAAGAGCTGTGTTGAAAAGCACACTGAGTAAAAGCACACAGTAATTGAATTTCTAATAACATTACAGAGGTGATTTAACACAACTGCAGCTCATTATTGTGCATGGTGAATACTTTTGTGCCTCTTAGTTTCATTAGAGTTTTCATGTAATTAAACCCAGTATAACCTTTATATTGAGACAAATATTGACTATTTTTGACATTTTAAAAGCTTGGTAAATACCCAATACAGAAATAACCGAGCATGAATTCTTATAGAAACATGAAGTCTACAGAAACTACTGGTTCATTCAGAGTATCCTCCCCTGGTCTCTGCTGGTAACAGATGGGTGTTCTTGTTGGTATTCATTACATTTTATTCAGTATGTCAGAAAAGGTTTCATTGATGATTAGCATGAATTTCTTTCAGTGCCAGTTTCTGTTTTGAATTTACACAGTTGATTAGAATATGTATTTTGTGTGAGTAGAGTACTCCAGTGCTTCATATAATTTTTCTGTATGACTAACATAATCTTGCCATCTGACAGTTATAATTATTCTAACTTATATCTCCATAATACTTTTCTGCACCTGCAACAGCCAGTGATCCTTACTTATCCAACATGACTAAGTTGGATGTCCAAATATACCGCTAAATTGTTTAATTAAAAAGTTACAGAGACTTAGTTTGAGATAAGAAAATACAGTTATAATATGATTTTCAAGTGTAATAGCATTCCAAGTAGACAAGTGTATCTGCTTTAATAAAATACCCTTTAATAAAAATGGTATTTAAATATTAGTAGGAGTATGACATCTGTTTATTACTACATCGTAAAATAATTTTAAATATTTTTTACTCTTTATAGCAAACTAGAAGATGATCCTTTATATATTGCCTATTCCGCAATGATGGCAAAGGTAAATATATAATTTCAAGCTCCATCCCTCACTCCACTCAGGTACTTCCTATTAATTTTAGATGCTTTTTAAACCTCTTCCTTCTGTTTCTTATGTGGACTGGTTGATACTAGTAATTTCTGTATTTTTAATGAAGTAAATGCTGTTCAGAGTTTTATATATTATAAGAAATTTCGTACATTAAAATTATAAAATTCCAGTAGGTGTAATTCTGTTGATATCACTTGGCACTTTGTTTTGTACAGGATTAATTCATGAGCAGTCTTAACATGTTAGTTATCTTTATTTTTTGGGTGATTATTTTGGAGTTAATATTTGAAGACTGTCAAAAATAAGTTGACAATCAGTTTTTGCAACATCTTGATTACAGCTGAGACATGTGAGGAGAGTTTGACTGTGAAGATAAATGTTATGGATATAAATAGAGATGTGACACAAGAACACATAGCCTGCAGTTACAGGGTGTATATGTAGTTGGATGAATACCCTGAAGTACTCATACATTAGGGAGTATCAGCTTCTTAGTGTGGATGAGCACTATTTACGATTACAGGGATTTTAAATCTTCCTAATGCCTTTAATTATTGCTTGAAAAAATGTCTTTACTATAGTAAAAATAGGCATTATGTTTCATAATAAGCAAAATCTTGTGATTTCTGTTTCTAACATAAAAAGAGCTGTCAGGAAGAAGAAGAAGAAGAAGAGGAGGAAGAAGAAAAAGAAAAGACATTTGAGGTAAGAGTTTAAATAACATTTCTTTCTCATCACCTAATGTGCAAGTATTTTAAATACGTTCACTAGAATAAATGCAAGAATAACACAGTGTGTATTGAGCTAGTTTACTAGGTTATTCATACGAAAGAAAGACAGTGTATTCTGAAGTTTTGGACTCAAACAACCCATGGATTATGGAGGCAGATGGCCTTCAATAACTTCAGATTTCTCATCTTCCTATTTTTCCTGAATCAATTCCAGTCTGCATTCTGTTCTCATTTTTGTTCCCAAACCTAGGAGAAAGAAATGGAAAAACAGAGAACTCTCTATCAGCAAGCTCGCTTACATGATCGTGGGGCTGCTGAGATGGTCCTTCAGATGATTAGTGCAAGCAAAGGTAATGTTCTGTGCAGTATTAAAAGTATACATGATACACATATCATATGTATAATGCTATACATATATATAGTGTATTATGTCATTATACCTATGTTACATATGTCATATACAACTTGTATATGGTATATAATGAGGCAAAATAAATGTCAGTTACAACTATACTAGGTAAAATTTTCAGACTGCTTTTCTGATTGAATAATTGATAATTGCAAGTTTTAATGACTGTACCCTTGTTTTGACAGGTCATACAGGACCCATGGTTGTTGAAACACTAAAACTTGGTATTGCTATTCTAAATGGTGGGAATACCATAGTTCAACAGGTAATGCTTTTCTAACTACTGTGAGTTTTGCTTGTATAAAGGAGGCAAGTAATTTTGAGAATTTTAGTGTTCTGTCATGTTTTTATTTTAGTGCATTTAATTTTAAACTAAACAGTGAACAAATTTTTGGTACAATAACAATGATATTATTGCTTGCCAGTGGCAATTCAGGAAATTGTTAATTCATATAATTTTAATATAGATTCTTTTTCCCCAAACATGTATACCCTCTAGAAAATGCTAGACTACCTGAAGGAGAAAAAGGATGCTGGATTTTTTCAAAGTCTCTCTGGCTTGATGCAGTCCTGCAGGTAAAAGCATAAATCATATTATTACAGTTTCAGTTTTATACAGGTTGGTGGCTTATTGCTCAGTGCAGGTGGTTTTGTTAGATTTAAATTACAGGAGTCACAGATTGTAGAACTCTTGTGGGAAATTTTTGTGAATCAGAGGAATAGCATGTTAATCTTCTGGAGTATTCTTCCAAAGGAGAAAATAAAGAAAAGACTGTGTATGCCTTTGAAGGCTTAGTTTGGAGAGGCAGAAAAGTAAAATGTAATGGATCCTTTAGGATCCTCGAGGGTCCCAGATCCCTCAAGTTTTCTGTCTGTGTGGTTCTAAGGATGGAGAAAAGCCACCACTGAAGGAGACAGAGGCCAGCGGAGCTTTACTAAGCTTTCAGTTTCTGCACATCTCTGATGAGTTACATAATTTCTGTCTCTTTATGTGAATCCTCTGCATATGTATCAGGTTTGTTAGAGATGGCATGTGGCTGGTGAGACTATAGTAGTCCATTCCCTTGATAAACCAGAAGTTCAAATTAGGTGAGGTAAAGGACTCCCATAAAGAAAGTGGAAAACTGTTGGTGTTTCTGATTACTCTTACAGTAGACAACCTCCTTTTCTCAGCCTTTTAAAGCAACAGAAGGATTCTGAAGGAGTAGACTGGGAATTAGAAGTGGAGAAGCTGTATGAAGACAGGAAGAAATGTGGAAGGAATGGTGACCTGCACTGCAGAAATTATCGCTGTGTAGTTGCAGCCTAATCAAATAACATCTATCTTGTAATTTTTCCATTTATGTAGAACAATTTAGCAAGGACTTGCTCAAACAGGACCTGCAGTGATGATATTACCAGTTGTGTATATGTATCATTCAGGACTTCATTACCAAAGGTTTTGATAAAATGACTTGAACACTGACAAGAGAATGAATATGATGCTTTAAAAATGCTTTCGGTTTTAATGATGACAGTAGAATATGTGAATGCATTGCTGTTTAACTGAAAAACATTAGATAATCATAAATTATATTTGGACTGTTTGAATGGAAGTATCCTGACTAAGTGATGAGAATAATCATCGTCTGCTATTCCACGTGCTGGGCTATGCCAAGTTAGCAAAAGAAAATTCAGATATCAGTGTATTTTGACCTCGGAAGATATGGAATCTCTGATTCCATATATGTCTTCTGAATATTGGAATCAGATTCCATACATCTTCTGAATAACATAGGAATGCATAATACATACAGTAACAATATAAGAGAAAAAATAGTGATAACTTAGTGGAAAAGTGACTGAGAAATAACTGCAGTAATGTCCTTTTGGCAGGCAGGTTTAAGTCAATATAAAGAGTGATATTTCAGGTTCCTTTTCCACTTTTAATTTATAAATGAAACCATGAATGACATTAATGGAAGTGATGTTAGGTAAGTGGTGAGACCTGACCTGAGACTCATTTCTTTTCAGAAATGGACACTGGACCCTTATTTTCATCCCAAGCTTTTTATTTAATACTCAAATAAAATATGAGGCAATGCTTGTCAGGGTGGGTCAAGAATAGTTGTTGAAGGCCTCCTGAGATTTCCTAGAAGAAAATAATTTTCCATTGTGTACTATAGTACTTTTTCCTGTTTGTTTTTTTTTTTTTTCTTCAATATAAGTGTTCTTGACTTGAATGCGTTTGAGAGACAAAATAAAGCAGAAGGCCTGGGAATGGTTACTGAAGAAGGAACTCGTAAGTAGAATGAAATTGATTCCGGTAGTGCTTAAAACATTATTTGTGCTTCCTTCTTCTGTGCTTCTAGAACTGTTATTTACTGTGGCTTGAGGTTTCTGTTGATAAACTTACTATAAGTAATTCTAGGGTTTGAGTTCTCAATATGCTTTATATTTACAAAATCTTTAGAAATAATTTTTAAGAAAAACATTGTAACTTCCAATATTCTTATCCTGTATTCTTGTTATTTTTCTTTGATCCACAGTCATCGTTCGTGAGCGTGGTATGTTTGGGTTTACAGTTTTCGATACTGTTGTTGCAAAAATGTGTTGCAAATACAGAGAGAAATCTTTCATTGCATCTTCCCAAATATCTTTAGGTTTAGCTTTATGGTCTGCAGCAGGTTGTGTGTTCAGCTTGGATAAAGAGTTTGATGCTTATTAAAGAAGTGTCATTCATATTTAAGGCATGATTTTAGTTATGACTAACCATTTACTTATTAGATATAAATCCTGTTGCTTTCTTTTTTTTTTCTTTTTCTTTTTTTTCTTTTTTTTTTTTTTTTTTTAACCATGGTTGCATTGGAGTGCTAAATATTTTGGCTTTGCTTTTTCTGTCTCAGTTTTTCTTTTCATTATTATCAGTCTGTTTCTTTTAAATTGCTTTAACGCTTCTATAATCCTGTTTTTTTATTAGAATTCCAGTTTTAAAGGTTGCTATAAGATTATGTGTTCTGCATATTTAATCATAACAATTGTCACATAATCATTGTATCTATATATATTAAAGGTGAAAAAGTGTTGCAGCATGATGAATTTACTCGAGATCTATTTAGATTTTTACAACTGCTCTGTGAAGGGCATAACAATGGTAAGTGAACTAAATTAATTTGGGGGAAAATGTGTGATGAGTCTGTTCTTAAACAGAGTTGAATAGAACCAATTCTAATGTTTCTTTTCCTCTAATTCATTTAGTTTTCTGAGGGGAAACTGGCATGCCAACAATTTGAATTGTGGAGTTCAATTTGAATTTTTAAGTCTCAATGTCATTTCAGTTTTTATGCCAATCGTTAATGGTAAATCCTATTGCAAGTCATGTGGATAACAATTCTTCAGTTTTATTTACATTGTGATCTACTGTAGTTCAATTTCCACCACATAAGCATCTGTACCCAACAAGGTACTTAAAAAGAATGTATTCTCCATGTCTCCATGAAAATATGAAAATAACCTTGTATTTTTTATTCCTATATATACTAACCAAGCACAAATCACTTCTTATTTCAGATTTTCAAAATTACCTACGTACTCAGATGGGCAACACCACAACAGTGAATATTATCATTAGTACAGTTGACTATCTCTTGCGTCTTCAGGTGAGGAAAAAACAGAGGAAAATGGAGTATAACATATTTACCTTTCCTTCATTTTTATAAATTCACATTTTACTGGAATCAAATGTGAAAATCCTCTCTTCAGGGATATCTAAAAGAAAGAATTCTAATTTAATTTATTTCATCTCTTCTTTCCTTTGACAATAGGTGACCTTTCAGAATTCTGTGTGAAACCAGATGTTTGTTAATTTATTTCATTGTTCACTTCTGCAGGGAGCATAGTTAGGTAAAAAAGCAAAAAGTTATTGTCATGAGAAATAAATTGACACAGAAATACTAAATTTCATCTGCTGCTGATTCAATTTTTGGTGATACAAATGCAGGCAGTAAATACTGCATACAGAATACAAAATTAGAAAATATAACATTACTGGTTTTTTCTTAGGAATCAATCAGTGACTTCTATTGGTACTATTCAGGAAAGGATGTCATTGATGAATCAGGACAACGTAACTTCTCTAAAGCTTTGGCTGTCACCAAACAAATATTCAATTCCCTTACAGAATATATCCAGGTAAACAAAATGTTTTGCTCAAGGTACTAACAGTGAAGTTCTATGATTACATGGCCTGGTCATGTCCTATCATAAATTTGTAAATACTTTGGCTTTATTTTTCTTAATTTTGATCAAGTTACATGGAATCACTGGCCCAGTGTAAAGTTAATACTAAAACATGTGAATGGCTGCATATTTAACATGATACGATCTAGGATTTATGCACTAGATACCAGAGAGACCCTGGGAAGCTTTCTCACGTAGCTTCATGGAAGCCTGAAGTTCCTTTTTTTATTTTTTCAGGGAGAAATCCTAGGAAAGCAAATTGTTTTATTTGTTTTGTTTTATTTTATTTTATATAAATAAAAATGTGTTTTTCTTAATTTTTGTAGGGCCCTTGCATAGGTAATCAACAGAGTCTGGCTCATAGTAGGCTGTGGGATGCAGTTGTTGGCTTTCTTCATGTCTTTGCCAATATGCAGATGAAACTTTCACAGGTATTTTCAGTAGTCAAGTAATCCTTCTTTGCTTATTTTTATAAATTACAGTCAAGTGAATGTTGAAAGCTGTAAAGCAGTTGATGTGCTGATACTCATTGGTTGTGCATGGGCCTATTGTAATGTAGAGGTCCAAGACTGAATCTCAGGACTAGCATCTTCAGAACACTCCTTTCAGCATTAATCGTCACTGTGCACTCACCTTTTCTAGTATCAAACTTACTGCTTCCAACTCAGTTATACCTTTCTGATAATGAAGATGGCCATTTGGTTCCTTCCTCCCTGTTGCCAAAACCTGATGATCTGTCAGAGCAGAAGCACCATTAAAAACATGGTTCCCATGCTACAGCTAAGTAGGGTAAGAGAAAAGCTGGAAAAGATTCAAAGAGGGAGGGAATGTGACAATCAGTCAACTTGTCGAGTTAATTCATCACAGATGCTGAGCAGGAGGGCAACAGGCAGTGTTCATTTCACTGTGCAGGGCATTGTGGAGTCCCATGCCTCTTCACAGTTTCAGGCCTCTATGTTCTTTTGCGACTTCTGCTTAATGTACTTATACGCTCAAGCCACTAGGCACTGAATGCAACAGTGCAGAGTAACTTCCTCAGTGTTATTCAATGTCTCTGCTACTTTCTGACTTACTCATAAGATTTCTTGCCACCCTACAGAAGTATATCAGAATTTTGAGGATACTTAACAGTTTTTAGGTCCTTAATGTTAGTCACAAATCCATGTTAGACTTACCATCTTCAGTAGTTAAACTAAACAGTTCTAGTTCTGTTTGAGTGGTAATGCATTATGCCATTAAATATTCCCTGTGAAGTGAGAAAGGATGGATTCTTTCTGAGATGAATACTGCCAGACCTGTGGAGTAACCAATTTTGTGAGTTTCTGCTGTCCCTTATCTGCATTTCGATACTCCTTAATGCTTTATTAAAGCTTATCTTTATGGTATTAATACCTCTGCTGTAGTAAGTTACCCTCATATTGTATAAGACTTCTGGTAGTAATCATAATAAAATGACAATGAAACGTTGCTGAAGAATGCTGTAGACCTCCGTGGGGAGGTCTACACGGCACCAGGCC